AGTTGCCATTTGCTCTTTAGGGCTACAGGACATTAATCTGAACATCTACTGGGGTAACTTCGTATTCTCTGGTTTATGGGATGGAAGCTATTCTGCCGATTGAAGTTGAAGTTGAAGTTTCGTCACTGCGGGTTATGGCTGAGTGCCAGATAGCAGAAGCAGATTGGCAGCAGAGCAGGTTCGAGGAACTAATGATGTTCGACAAAAGGAGGCTGAAAGCACTGTACCATGTCCAAGGTTATCAAATCAGAATTGCCAGGGCTTTCAACAAGAAAGTTAAGTCTAGAAATTTGAAAGAAGGGGATTTGGTGCTCAAAGACAACCGAGCTCCCATCCATGACACTAGGGGCAGGTTTAGACCCAATTGGAATGGTCCTTACATCATTAAATCTATTTGGTCGGGTGGAGCTGTCATTCTTATGGACTGAGATGGCCTCAAATTCTCCCAACCAATCAACATGGACAAGTTAAAAAAATACTATCCTTGAGTGGCTCGTTAGGATGAAAACCCGAAAGGGCGACCTAGGCAAAAGTTAGAGCACAAAAAATTGAAATAAGAAAAACTGAGCTCGCAAGGTTGAAAACCTAGAAAGGGCGGCCTTGGAAAAAGTTAGAGCGCAAAAGGAGAGTGTTAATACCCGAGTGAACCCGAACCGAACTACGTAAGGTTTGATTCCCATCTTTGGGATACGTAGGCAACTTCATTCTGAAGTCCAGCCATAAACACTTCCAAATCAACTATGTCCATGAGATTGCTCTGGTCATCTTTGTCTTTTCTGCATCCAAGAGTTCAGTTGTGGTCTTCACTATGAGAGCTGGTTATTCTTTGCTGGATTCTGGGTTGTACATCTCAAAGATAGATTTCGGGTGTGTCCAATTACGATCCTTATCGAAAATGGTTTTGAAAAGTTTTAATAAAAGTTGATTTTATTCAAATTAATCTTTTTACAACTTAGACCATTTTTGGACCAAAAGGAAACCTTTCAATGCCTACAACTTTCAATTTCATTGATTTCAATACAGAGTTCTCTACCTCTTGGCACAAATCAAAGTTGCTTTTTATTATATTCAAAAGAAAAACTTGAAAGTTAGATCAAAGTAATAAACTTGGGGCACATGTGAGTCAGGTGTTCCTGCGTCCCCTCCCAGAGCTTGTGGAAGCTTCAGATGCTAAAGTCGGCCCGATTTGTGCCTTATCTTCAAGCCAAGCTATGCATTTGCCAGAAAGGGTGCAACTAAAATTGGGAGCAGGAGCCAGAAGTTCTCTTGTCCTCCAAGCAGTGGGATATCGAGCTAGTTGTGAACCTCGAATCGGAAATGAAGCCGGATACTCTACCCTCTTTTCTGGACAAGTCTGATCATGTCCGAACTGACGCCTGAATCGGAATGAAAAGTAGAAGACATAGTGTGTCAAGCCAATCATTTGAATGCCAAGTTGTTGAGACATGCTGTAGCTCATCTCAGGCAGATCAAACCAAGGGTAATGCCAAGCAATGTTGACAGCAGACCTGTTGTATAACCAATGACACCACCACCCCTCGTTGGGAAATCAACTAGCCGTTGGCGAAAGAAATAGACGTGCGCTGAATATGCGTGGCAAGAGTCCACTGTTTTCAACCTGTCCATGAGCCATATCTGGGGAGGGATGAAAAATAAGAGAGATTAAAGGAGAGATGTATGTGGAGAGAAAAGTGAGAAAGGATTTGAAGAGAGAAACAGAGCCTAAGAGCCGAGTGATGTGAGAAACACATGTGAGACAGGGTGGGAAACAGTACCTGTAAGAGTAGTGGACTCCCTGCGAATTTAGTTGTCTCCCGCCTATGGAAGGCGTCTAAGCCCATCAAAGTGTTGGCTAATGCCAAGCCAATGCAGCTCTTGCCCTCTTTCAAGCCTTGGGCTACTTTGATCAAACAAACGCTAGACCCTCCGAAGTTAGAGGCAAGCAGAAAATGAGCCAACATACACAAACAGAGGGCATGTTGCCGAAAACTTTGCCAGAGACAGTCGTCGGCGTCAGAAAATCGATAAATGAGACTGGGAATGTCTAGTTCTCCATTGTGAACCAAGGATCGAGCATCGTGTAAAGTGAGCCCACACATTCGTCCTAAAGCTTGGATGTGGCCAAAACGAGACTAGGGTAGGATTTTCTCGTCACGCCGGGATTCCATCAGAAGTTGGAATTCTTCAATTGTAGGGCATGTCTCTTGACCTCCAAAGTTAAACACATGTGTAACTGGGTTCCAACATCTAGCCGCGGCATGAAGGAACGGAAAACACAGCGGGGTACGACTCAACAAGAATAGTGCATTTATCTCGAAACCTCGGAAGTTCACTTTTTCCGAGCCATCCAAAGTTGCAATCCAAGTCGAGGATTTTTCGGTGAAGAATGGCTCCATTTGGGGCAAAAACAGAGCTGGAATAAAGAAACTACGAAGCCCAACTTTTGTAAAAGATAAGGTGCTGAGTGGAAAACAGGTGGCAGTAATCTGGAGGTTCCCTGCACTAGTGGCCGACCTGCCACTTTTGTAGCCGACCGGTTAGTGCTAGTGGCCAACAACCACTTTTGGTGGCCGACAAACTCTGCCTATAACCGACATAAGTCCTATGGCTTTCCTATGTGTTGGGAGTGCTGAGAACCTGTGTTTTGTTCTGCTCTTGGTGCACTTTGCCGCCTTGTTTTAAGAGTTTTGTTGAGTCGCCTTTTTATTTTATTTTATGTTGTTTCGCTTTGTTTATCGAGTTGTTTTGTTGTTTTTTATCGAGTTATATTGCTTTTCGAGTTATTGCATTGTTTACCGAGTTGTTGCATTAGTTGTTCATTGAGTTGTTTTACTCTGTCTGTTATGTGTTGGTCGGTTCCTTACTTGATTAGGAAGTTGCCAATACAATGTGCAATGTTTAAATTCCATCAAGTCCTCTTTTAGTGTAAAATGGTGCAATGCGATGCTCAGAATATAAAACACAACACATGTTTCATTAAAAGGCTGATTTTTCATTTCAATCATGGTTTCTTTTTACAAAAGAGTGCAAGTTTTTAAGAAACTAAAACTGTACAATGTGCTAACACTACTAGCTAAAAGAAAAAGAGCAAAAAAAAACTAAGCAAAGAACATCTAAATCAGTGCCATCCACCTCAGGATCGAGAGGCTCTTTTCGTCCTCTTCCTGGGTATATACTCAGAGCTATCACCATCAGCGCCGCTGTCAGAGGCCCCCGTGTTTGAGCTAGCTGCCGAATCGGCCTCAGCATCATCTCTGCCCTCAGAATCTGAGCTGGCGTCGCCTTCTCCGTCCTCAGATGACTCTGACTGTGGACTCGCTGCCTCCTCATCCTCACTCGTCTTATCATCATCATCATCTGGAACGGGCTTTGAAGGGCCACTCTCGTCACGGGTGCCCCTAGCTCTGCCTTGGTTGTGAGCCAGAGCCTCCCGTCTCTCTCTCTCTCCCTACTGACGGAGGAGGTACTGATGGTCCTGCTACAGCTCTGCTGGAATGTCTGATGTGGCTGGGATCTAAAAAGGGTAGTTTGTCAAACACATCAGTCATGGTGCAGTATCAAATGCAATGTCAGAATGTAGAATCAAATGCAATGTCAGAATGCAGTATCAAATGCAATGTCAGAATGCAATGTTTGAATGCAGTGTCAAAATGCAGTGTTTGAGTGTAGTGTTTGCATGCAGTGTTTGAGTGTGGTGTTTGAATGCAGTGTTTGAGTACAGTGTGTCAGAACAGTGCAATGTGGAATAGATTATGTTTGAAATGCTGATGTATACTAGAATCTTGTAAAGGCTGAGCAGGTTCATGCTCCTCTGCACCATCTTCGTCAGGGAAGCCACCAACTCAAGGGCCTGCCCGGTGTACTCTATGGGTGCCTGCAAGTGCGTTGGGAGGATTAGTGTTCTATAAAGTATAACTGAAATGAAGTAAATATGCAAAATGTAAAGTATGGTACATACTGGAGTCGGGCCTCAAACTCCGACAAGCTCATGCTCAGCTGGTGCGGGCTCAATGGAGATTTGGCAAGCCTCCTCGATATGTCACCAGTAGGTGAGTGTGGTAGGCAACTCTGGCCACCCTGTCCTCTGCCTCGCCCTAGAACCTTTCTTGCCCTAGGCCTTGGTCGCCCCGGCACCTCTGCCTCTCTCTCCCGTAGCCGGAGCCCTCTTTCTCTTACCTCCATGGGCACCAGTTAGAGGTGGCATGAGGTATGTCTGAATAAAGGCTGTGTAATCACCCTTGACTCGGAAGAAGTCGGCGTCCTAGCCTTTAGTGAAATCAATCATCTTCTGCACAGTGTATTTCTCTGTGGCTCTCATGTATGTTGGAGGTGGCATCGGAACTACTGGCTCAGGCAAGCCGATGGTTTGGTGTAAGAATCGCTCCCTTAAGAACCACGCCAGACAAACCGGGCCCTCGAGCAGAAATCAGAAACGGGAAGCCTCTCGGGCACCAGCGAACTGATCCCTGACTCCCTCAGGCATCGTCGCCCAGGGCTACCAAGTGATCTATAAATAGAGAATATGCAAATTGTTAGCTATTATCAGATATTGCATATGAGTCAGAATTAAAGGAAAATGAAAATAAAAAGAGAAGCTTGAGTTACCTCAGCCGTGGTCACGGTATCGAAGTATCGACGGAAGAAAGGAAAGGACTCCTGGGGCCTCCGCTGGCATCTCCCGTCATACCAGTGAGAGTATGGCACGACAGATGGCATCTCTACCTCTGGCTCTAAGGCAAGTCTCGAAAAGTAGGCGTATATCCATAACTGCAGAAAGTGAAAAGGCAACAGTGGGTATACAACAGATAAGTACAAGTAATGCAGAAAGCAGAATATGTGTGCCATGCCCAGAAAATACAATGTGCAGTGTGTGCAGTGTACAATGTATGCAAGGCAGAAAGAAGATTGTGTGTGTACAGTATACCGTGTGTGCGGTGTACAGGGAATGTTAAGCAAAAATCATAACAGGAAATGCAAAACAGAAAGGTAAAACATACCTCCTAGGCCTTCCAGTAGCCTTCTATCAAATGTCCGCTTCGGCTGGAGGTCGAATCCATGTACCCGTATAAGGTGTCCAAGCTAGCGCCGCTCTGATCGTAGAGTCGGACACGGGATAGATCCATCAGGGCACTCATGAGGTATAGCCTGACGGTGTTCGCCCGGTCGGCGAACAAGATAGTGCCAAACAGGAACATCAGGAAACCTCGAGCATACTGCTCGGTCTCCTCTCGGGTCGCTGGTGCCGTCCCTCTGTAGTGGTTTGCGAACCAGGAGTATCGAACCATCCCTAATAGGGAGATAGGTGGGCGAATCCCCAACAGGTAAATCTGAGCAGCCTCCCACTCGCCCATATCAGTATCATAAGGAATCGGATGACCCCCCATCTTTATGTCGATGAGCATAGAGCAGTCGAAGGGAGTCATCGTCATCTCCCATGTGGTAGAGAAGTGAAAAGAATCAGTGGTATCCCACCACCTCTCTACTAAGGTGCCCAATAAAGGCCGGCTCGCTATGAGCCGTGACAGCCCCATGTAGAATGAGCCAAAGCTGGCCTCATCGATGATGTGGCGAACGTCGTCAAGAAGCTCCATGTACCACTCCCTCGTGGAGGTGGTCCCGTATCCTCTGATGGTGCGTGAATCTCCTTATGATTAGGACAATCAGATAAAATGTAATGTAAATAATACAGTGCAAAAGTGGGATTGTGCAAGCAATGCAAGATACATTGAGAAAATACAAGAATATAGTGTATACCTCGGAGGCACCGTGAGATAAATGTGACTCTGGTTCACGCAGTAAAAGGTCCTCCGGTGCGCCTCGTGCAAACCCCCTGAACTGACGAATGCTATTAGGTGGTAGCATGTGTATCTCGGAATGATACACTGGCGAGTCAAAAGGTCAAGTGCTGAGTGGTAGTGGCTCAAACTCCGGATCCACCTCCATCTTTGGAGAAGCTCCGTCGTGTGGGATGTCATCCGCCATCTTGAGGGAAGATGAGAAAGTGGTCAAAAATTTGGAAATTGGGCGAGGAATGCCAAAAATCAACAAAAATCAACTCTCAAAAGGAGAAAATAGAAGGAAAGGATGGAGTCCGGGAAGGGGAACTGAATCCAAGAGAAACTTGGGGAAAACAAACCCCGTATAGTGAAAATCAAGAAGGAAACCCCAGAATCAACTTTCAATCGGTTTAAAATAGGGTAAACTACGAGGGTTTGGCGAAGAAGTGTTTATGGGGTGTTGGAAAATGCGTGTATTGCTTAGATCTAAGGAGAATAAAGGTCTAGAGAGGGAGGAGGATGATTTTCAAGCTTAAGGTTGCGTGGAAATGAGGTGTGGGGGTGTAAACATAAAGACCTAAGGTGAATTCCCCATTTTGTCCCGAATCTGCCATCAGTGGCTGACAGCCACCATTTGTGGCCGACCAGCCACCTCTAGTGGCCGATAGCTTCCTCTTGTGGCTGATGGTGCCTAGGAGTAGCCTACGGGTGGCTGGCACCCCTCCCTGGTGGTCTTTTAGTCCCCAATGTTCCTATTTTGGTGATTTCCCATTGATTTGGTCCCTGTTTCCTGAGAGGTGCAAGGAAAAGTTATTGTTGAGCTTGGGTTCTCTTCGCAGAGACTTGAACTGTGTTCTTGGTGATCCTTGTTTGCCTCTTATTGGATGAAGAGTATTCTTTTCATATCTTTTCATATATCGCAAGATTGGAGAGTTACTTTTTGAACATGTTGCAGTAGAGCATTTTCGTCGTATATGTACAGTGAACATGCATTTTGTACTATTGCATGAATATGCATTTCGGTGTTACATAGAATATGTTTTTGTTTTGTTTCTTGCATGTTGTGCATAAAACATGTCTCTAATGGTGTGTCATAGTTATTCGACTTGTATAGCACATGCATTTGTTAGTCGAGCATAGCACGTGCATTTGTTAGTCGAGCATGGAACATGCATTTGTTGCTCGCACATGGAACATGCATTCACTAATCTTACATAGAATGTGCATTGTTGTTATTTCACATAGAACATGCATTTGTCACATTTGCATAGAATATGCACTTCTCACACTTGCATAGAATATACGGTTCTCACATTCGCATGGAACATGCATTTGGTATATAGAACATGCTGTTAATCGTGCATAGAACATGCCTTAACATCATTACAATTGTGCATAGAACATACAACCTTAATATGTTATGCTTGTCGAGTTTCTTTCTTGTGCATGCACGATATTATATGTACGGTTCATTCAAAGCTGGTGCAACCAGATGACATTTAGAGGAACTCCAGATAAGATCATTCCTGTCCCTTGAACACCTTGTTTTGGTTAGAAACATCCGGGTACGCCCAGTGTTTACTCCACACCCTTGTTGGTTAGAAACATTCGAGTACGCCCAGTGTTTACACCACTCCTTTGTTGGTTAGAAACACTTGGGTACGCCCGGTGTTCACACCACAACCCTGTTTTGGTTTGAAACATTGGGTCGTGTTCCTGATGTTTATACCACCTCCCGGTTAGAAGCGTTTGGAACGTGTTCCGATGCTTATACCACCCTGTTGGTTAGAAACATTGGGTCGTGTTCCTGATGTTTATACCACCCCCCGGTTAAAAGCGTTTGGAATGTGTTCCGATGCTTATACCACCTTGTTTTGGTTAGAAACATTGGGACGTGCTCCGATGTTTATACCACTCTCCGGTGTTTATACCACTCCCTTTCTCCTATCACGTGTGATGCGCTAGGATGTTTTCGATCAGAAACATTTGGGTACGCCCGGTGTTTACACCATCCTCTTCTCCTCTTGCGTGCGACGTGTTAGGACGCTTTGGTTAAAAGCATTCGGACGAGTTCCGATGCTTATACTGCTCTTTGTTTTGGTTACATAATATTTGGACGTGTTTCAATATTTATCACTGTTCCCTTTGGTTCGAAATATTAGGGCGTGTCCCTGAGTTCACACCTTTTCTATCCTCGTGTGTGTTATGCATTAGGATCTTGTTTCACGCCTCGGGTGCGCCCAAGGGTTGTGTTGTTCTTTGCCTTTCCTGCGTGAGGTGCAGTTAAGATTGCATAATTTTTTTACATCCTTTCTGCATGAAATGTGGTTTGGTTCATGTTTACTTGCTAATGTATGAGTTTGCTATAGCATTTCTTTGCATAACATTTGTATCTAGATGTTTCATTACAGCCTCATTGCATGATCATAAGTTATGTTCTGCATCGTGCATATCATTTGCATCTTGCCCCAGAACTACGCTAGTTTGATTCCTTGCAAAGGGATACGTAGGTAGCTTGTGGGCACAACTGTTCTTTGTTTTTCTTGCTTGTTTGTCCAAGTCTTCGGCCTTGTCAAAAATGAGTCGTCTCTGGGTTTTGACATTCACTCTTGTCATTTCATGACTTTCGAGTTCTGTTAAAGAGGGGCAACTGTAGACACCTTATTTTTGACCGTCTTCAAAACTTGAACATCATCGTTTGAACACTCGATGATTTTGCATGCTCGTGTTCGTTTGGAGTGCCTAAAATTTCTCGGCCGAGCGCCTTTGCCTTTGAGCCTCTAAACTTGTCTGTTTTGTGCTTGGTTGAGGATCAAGAGCTTGTTGTTTCAAGTCTGGAGGAGAGGGTGGCTTGTCGACCATCCCCACAGTCCATCGGCCATGGCTTGTGCCTGTCGGTCATAAGTGGTGGCCGGTCGGCCACATTTATGGCCGGTCGGCCACTGGTGATGGTCGGCGGCCATTTTTCTCATTTTTCAGATATTTGTTTACTAACTGTGCCAGCTGTTGTTCACTGAAGTGCATATCTATACACGTGTATGGAGGGATGAATACAAGCTTTAATCTTGATTTTCTATATATAGGGGGTGTCCTCCCCCATTTTGGAGGGTTAGACATTTTGGATCAAAATTCTCTTTCTCTTTCTCTCTTCTTGTTTTGTGCTTTCTAATTAGTTTTCTCTACACTTTTGCACACTAACTCTTAACCAAACTTGACTACCTTGGAGCTGAGGTCCCTTGGAGCCTAGTTTGAGCTTTTGGAAGGAGGTTTGAGCCTAAAATTGTGGCTGTTTAATGCTGTGCTTCAAGAGGTATAAGACTTCCCTTGTAGGCTTTGTTTTGACTACTTGTTTTGCCATCTTTTTATACTATTTTTGGCCTAGTTTTCAACTACAAAAAACTCTGATTTTTGAGCCTTAACACGATGGTTTGAGGTCATTTTGTGTAAAGGGGTAGTCCACAATTCTTGTTGCTTTATTGTGTGAGCTTTTCTGCCATCCTTTAGCATATTCACATCAAACTTTTTGGCCCTTTAAACCACTGAAATTTAGAGTTATTTTAGTGGTGGAAAGCATGTTTTGAAGTCCAAAATTGGAGGGGGTAGCCTCCCCTCATTGTGTCTTGTTTGCAAGCCTAGATAGCTTAACATGTGAGCATGTTTTTCTAGCATTTTGTACCTTAATCTCAGCATGTTTTAGCCACTGTTTTGACCTGTTTTGCCTCTGTTTTGGGCTGGTCAATTCAGTTGAGGTTTGTATTGTGTGGTTGTAGTGCAATTTCTTTTACTAGCTTAATGTTTTAGGCTTTCAAACATGATTTGCATGACTTGTTTTCATGTTTCAGTGTCATCTTGCACTTCATTTCAGCACTGAAATCTCTGCAATCTCCTTCTATTCTTTACTCTTTCATTTGTTTTGAAAGAGGATTTGAATCCCTTGTTGGCTTGAGTATGGAATTGAGACCCTTATGCCTAATGGTTTAATTCCTTCAGGAGTTCATCACCAACAGCATGAGGCCTCTTTCATGCTCAAGGTACTTGTGGTTTAAGCCCTCTTTCCATTAGAGGACACTCACCTTTTGGACTAATCAATTAAAGAATGGATTGGTAATCTAAAATGAGTAAATAAAATATGACAAGTAAAAGAGGCAAGATAAGCATCTTTCATGTTGCATTGTATGTGTTTGAATCGGACGTTAATTCAAACACGAGAAAAATGGGATGTTTCATACTCAAATTGATGAAACGTGCCACTTTTCTTGGTCACCATCACCCTTGATCATGCATGATAGGGTGGTGGTTGTTTTGGTCTTGTTTGTGAATTCATTAAGCTTGTCCAAGCTTGGTTTCTTGGCCATCATGCATGAAAATGCTTGGTTGATGGTTTGAAAGTCAAGAGCTACACTCTTTGAACTTGTGTGATGACAAGGAGAGTAGCAGTATATACAGTCCTTGAGAATACACTACTTTGCCTCTGTTTGCTCTCTGTTGCAGCAGAAAAGAGAAGTTCAGGGAAGGGGTAGCCGACCGGCTACCAGTATAGCCGACCGGTCACCAATGGTAGCCGACAGCCACCATTGGTAGCCGACCGGCCAGAAATGAAATTTTGCACAAGTGTGTTCCTGAGTTGGAGCAGAGATGTTTTGGAAGTTGGCAACACTGTTGGTGTTCAAGTGAGTGCAAACCGAGGCGTTCGATAGCAAGGCGGTGGGTTTTTGGGAGAAAACCAACCAAGCATGCATGCCTCCCTCGCCCTTAAGGCCATTTAATTGCTTTAATTAGTTAGCGTAGCTAATTATTCAATTCAAGTGTTGTAC